GATACGCTGGAATAAACCGTATATACCGTTACATTTATCTGGATCCCAGAAACTCTACCTGTTGATTCCCCGGCCGGCCGTGCTGTAGTTTAAATCACGCCGTAAATATGGAGGCTCTCGAGCCTCCTCTGGCTTTCGTTGTTCCGCCACGTCGCTCCTGATTTTTTGGCGAAAGTTTCTCTTCTTGGTGATTATAGGGTTGGAATGAGGTTTGATGGGTTCCGTGATTCGTGTACGGGGATGGAGTGGTGTGATTGTTGTGGTATAGTTGTGAGTGTAGTATGTTGACGTTTGATATTATTTTATGTTGATGTGGGAGCGTCTGATGTGTAGTGTGCGGGGGAATATTTAAATTATGATTTTGGTTTTAATGTGTGGGATTGAGATGTATGCTAAACTTCCTGGGTGGTTACTTGTTTAATTCTGTTGTAAAGTATGGGTGGTCTTTTCTTGACTGATTTTCTGTGTTTCTTACCATTATTTGTTAAGCTAATTTTATTTAAAATTAATATAGTTTTCTGGTAGTAAAGTCGAAATAGAGACGCACTATCAAGGAACTTTTGCACGTCATTACCTTTGTAAATTCATGGAATATGTTTCTATGGATCCATGTTAGTAGTGTTTTATTTTTTAGGTATTTGAATTAATAGAGAAACGTGATAATTTTATGGAAGAAGTTAATCAGAAAACTTTCTACAACCAGATACTAATTCGTATCTTATTTCCCTTTTAATGAGTGGTCTTTAATTATTCAGTAATAATTAACCAGCAGTATCTATCAGTTCACTCCAGAAAGCGATACTCCAGTTTTTAAAATCTTGTTCCTCCAGTAATCCCAATAAAGCATTTAACAAAATGAGGAGAAAATACTTCTTACACTATTGTTGATGAATAATATTCATGCTATGACTCTTTAAACAATTAGTAATATTAAACAATTTGCTCTGTCCATATACTAGTGAAATTTCTTTCAACCTAAAAGAGGCATCATCACATAAAACGAACGCTCAAAGTGGAGAAATCTCTGCAGGGTCTCGCCAAACGATCAATATTAATTACCAACAACATACTAAATATTGGGTTGGTGGGAAAGTTTTTTCGTCGCGCTACATTAAAAAGAAAGCAACAATTTTTAATTAATAACAATTCGTTTAGTCAACAATACAACGTCCTTCATTATAATTAATCAATAATAGAATTTCCTTCATTAAAAATTCAGGCAATGGAATTAATTATAACCATCCTGTTTTCTAAAAATCTCTTGTAATGAAACCGATCCATGTAATATGTCCATTTTATATGTGCAAAATTATTATTAATAATGAATTTTCTCCACACAGCGAAACAATATATATATTTGTACAATTTCACCTGAATTGCAAATATTCTCCTTCCGGTCCTTCTTCCGAGCTGAGCGTCATCACGTGACATTGGCGCGCGAAATGGAGTTCGAGAGTCCGCGCGCGCTCGCGCGTTGGTCCAATGGTCGCTTCGCGAGGATTCGTGAGATTTCCCGCGGTTGATTCGAAAGGAAAGTTTATTACTCATGCGCGGATAGCAAGCGCGAGGGACAACGCAAAAAACTGAACCGGAATGCAACTAGTCGCGATCCATTTTCCTCTCTTTTTCCCGTGGTCGCCTTCCGGCGAGCGGATTGTGAATGAACTTGTTTTCAGAGCAACGTTGGAGAATCGTTGCGTTACGGCTGGTATCCACTTGTTGCGTATCATCCATTGACACGATATGATACACCATTTGTTTGTTTTGTTTGTCGAAAATATTAATTTTTTCCGTATCATAACTGCGTATAGTGATGAGCTCTTCAACGCTTCGAATAAGTACCTAAAACATGATGGCGAAAAATTCGAATCGCTTCGAACATGATTCAGTAGCAAAACTTCCTAGTCTGCTAAAACTTTGACGACTTTCAGGAATTAACAAATCTTTAATGACTGAGCAACTTCATCAAGATTTTCTAGAGTTTTAAGTATCGAATCATATTCAAAGTGATTCGAATTTTTCGCCGTGTGTTCCAAGACTTTCAGGAACTATCGAATCTTTTAATACTTCAAGACTTTATCAAGAGATTTAAGTATCTTTATTAGAATTCTTAATAAGAATTTTTACCATATTGAAAAACTTCATATTACCTCGGAATTGAAATTCCAACGCCCATCAGTCGTGGTACGTCCTATTCGTATCGATACTGGCTCAGCCGTATGTAGTCTCATTTTTTGATATGAAGGCAAAACACTAACAAATGACTTTTGTCATTTCATCATCATCATCATCCCATGAAAAGTGACCTTTGATCTTTGTATCAAATTGTGATACACAATTGACGCAACAAGTGGATACGAACCTTAAAAGAAACTACGAAACGCGTTTCCACGGTTGAACAGGGTTGCTAGCTTTAGACGAGCTCGCGGCTGATCCAGTATAATGAACCGATCGGCCGTGTGTACATAGAAATCGTATGAAACTGTTGGTTACGCATGCAAATTAGCGCGGTCGCTGTGGGAAACTTGCCGCTTTTGTGATGAAATCGGTGAGTTTACGGGGGTTCGATGCCGCCCTGAAAAAAACCTGATTGCGTGTGAAGAATAAGTATATGTTAATAACAGCCTTAGGGCCGTACTTTTATTGTGCATGTACCTTGGTGGTAAACAAAATAAATGATGGGCATTTCGGAATTTAAATTGGTTCGATGCCATGGGTGTAGTTTTCTGGAATCACTTACCGATTTTTCGCAAAATTTTATCGTAATATTATTTAGTAATGATTATTCAATTTCCCAATTTCAACTCTTTCCTTAGGATATAGATGGAAAGAAAAGTTGTGCATGAGTACTGTATCTAAGGTTTCCAAAATGTTTTTTGAATTGTTGTATTTCTACTAAATAGATGATCCTGAATGGTACACTTGTAAACTACAAAAGCATAAGTGGTTAAAGACTTTTTTTATGTGTGTGCATTAATTACGAACATGTACGTTAGTTAAGTTTATTTAATAAGACATTACTTACGTTTTTTAACTTATTTGATTGGGAGTATGTGTAAAATACAAGGAATAATCGTGTCCTAAATAGTGAGTTAACATAAAAAGAAATCAGTTTCAAGCGACTTCGAAATGAATTTCAGCCAAGCAGTTTTGTGTGAAACTCTGGTCTACATACTGAATAGTTGAAACTCTAATGTATTCCGGAGAAGAGATCTGAGCAAATGCCTCGGAGTCATGCAACAATAATTAGGTATTTAGAGCGTCCTGAAATTCTGAGACGCATGTGGTCGTAATTTCTATAAAACTTCCTTCTAAATTCCTTTCTACCAAGAGTGTACTCGTAGAAGGGTGTGATTATCAATGTGTACTTGGAATATATTGGGTATAAATTAATATTTTTTCTAATATCTCATCTATAACTCTCAGAGAATACACTTCAGTAATAGTAAAAAATTCATTCTGAAAATATCTTGAAAAGATTCTAATATCTTTTTGTCGAATTACTCCGTCAAGTAGACTGTAGATTAATTAATTACCAACTGAGTATTATCAAAAGGGCTCAATTACAATACGAAAACAGCGACCGAGAGTAAAAAATTAATTTTAATTTATAGCGAACGAATTTCTCATTCCCGACTAATCCCGAGAAATGCGTATAAATTAATTTCGAGAAGTGTTGATAAATTTTAATTTAACTCACAAAATTCACATATAAAAATCGCTCGTCCTGTTTCCCTCCTGTGTTTCTCTTTCGTGGCGAAAATACGTTTTACCATTAGGGTTAATTAAATCAGATCACTCGAGATAAAGCCGTTTTATTACGATTTCAGATACCGCAATTAACTTAATTGCCAGAAGCATATAATAATTCTTTCGCGAATAGACAAAGGGGTTTCTTGATATTTTGTTCATTTTTAGAATGTAATAATTATTCGAACGTGGAAAATTTTCAGAAATTTAATATCATATCATCGTTTGTTCGGTTCCGTTTGTATTTCATCGTTCTGATCGAATGTGAGTATGATTCGGAAGAACACCGGATATTTAGCCCATGACGCCGGAAAGGCGAAAATTATGTTCCGCTATGGGACAGGACACAGCCACGGAAATTGTGATTTACTTTCCCTCGGAATAATAATGCGCTCACGATACGGTGGACTACCATCGTGCGTGGATAGACGGGTGGGTGCTGTCACATTTACATACTTCCTCGTGTTGCGTGCACATCTACGCTCGTATTCTTTATTAGTACGTCGTGTCAATGGGAAGAGCCTAGATTTATTGCCAATTAGCATGCTATAATAATAATAAAATAATATCATTATATCACTCAGATTAATAGATCAATTAAAAAAATGTAGTCCTGGATAAGACACCACTTGTTATCTACATAATTGTGTGATATTATGTTTCTTTATACTTTTTGCTGGTTTGTCTTATCGATTTATAACGATACCTTGTGTCTTTTATTCAAATTTATGGTATACAATTGCAATGTTTTCCATTCACCTCTTTATTTTTTTGAATACTGAATAATGTGGCACATTGAAATACTCAATAATGTAGCCTCCGTATCCTTTCTATATGATGGAAAAATAGAAAATGTCGTTATTGTATTGTAGAGATTGAACTTGTGAAATAATTGAAGTGAAAAAGTTTCATAAGAACTTAATATGTATTTATACCTCTCGAAATTGCAATTTCTGGAAAATGGATCTGAAACTGTCCGACGTAAGAGTGACATTAATGTCTAATGTCATTCTTGCGTTTGAGTTATGTTAAGTCTAATTAAAAATAAGGACTAAAGATTAACTAAAAAATAAGGTAAAAATATCAATTCCTCTTAACATTTTTTTTCATTGTGTCACATTCTGCGTATAACATAAAATCGGCGGTTCAAACTTTCTTAACGGCCTGCTTACAAGATTCCATTTTACTAATGACAGGAATTTTCACTCGACTGTAGACGCCCTTAAAACTTCATTTCGCTCGTGTTTCAGGTGTTATGGCACCTCGACATCTTCCGGCGGAGCTTCAGGGAGCTTTCAGGACACGCCTGCATGCGGGAATCCTGCATCTTCTGCGCCCTCAAGGTAAGCGAGACAGATCGTTTGCGTGGGGAAGGGAAAAAGAACGCGAATCTCATTAACCCTCCGAAGACCGATGTTCTGGGACTGACAGAGCGGACGAATGCCGGGTCATTTTGACCCATAAGTAAAACTTTATTATATGCAAAATTGAAGGATGAATTGTGTATGAAAGTTTTAATATTTTTTCATGTGTTTTGTTTTTATAATAACTGAATAAATAGAAAAATAGCTGGCGAACGTTCCGCGACCGGATATTGTTTATTAAAACACGCAACGAAACGGAGGAACTGTCCGTGAAAAAAATACCCATGTGTTGACGTTCATGTTGTACTACGCTGCATGTGTAATGAGCGGTGAGCTTGCAACGGCATGCATTCTGTTTGTCGTATAGAAACGTATGGAATTTATATTAGCGCTGTAGATTAGTGATAGCTGTTGATCATAGATAACGTTCCATTTGAATGTTTGTTAGGTGTATTTATGCTTTTGGTATGACATTGTTAGGAGTGTATAAAAATTCAATTCAAAAATTATTATTGTTTTGATTCGTCTGTTTTAAATTATAAACATAACCACACGAAAGTAGTTCTTTCTTGAAGGATTTCGTAAATGGGGGCTGAAGTATCCTAAAATTTTACGTCAATTTGATATGTAAACTCTATAGCAGAGACTACTCCTCTTTCAATTATCAGTAAATAGGTGCAGAGAAAAATTACGTCTTTCTCGTATAAAAAAAAATCGAAAGATTTATTCTGATATTTTCAAATTGACACATATAATTTCTTTCTGTTATTATCATAAATTGTATCAAAATTATCAAAGAGCCTTGCCTATTTTTGTTTAAAGAAAACTGGATGTAGTTGCGACTTAAATTCTAGATTAGTTACACTATAACTTAATTTACATCCATATCAATTAATTTATTAAATAATCTACGATTCCATTGCCGCATAGGTCCCCTTAACATTAGTAGCCATGAATCCTCACAAAATATCTCTTTGTCCAATATTCCAATCATTAACTTTCTATTTCACAAAACAACAATAATTAACTTCACAAAAAATTAACGTATAATGATACTCGAGTAATATTAACAAATAGCAAAAACAAAACAGGTCATTCATCTAAAAAGCAAAACACGCGTAATCACCGGTTAACTAATCAATAATCATAAATGAATTAATGGAGCCCCTAAGCAGCCAGGGATTTCATTAAAAAGCGCCTTGACATCTTCACGTATCGACGAGCACCGGATGATTAACAAACAAAAGCGGACAGCCTTGAGTGGTTTTCGCGTGCCGCGAAGCTGGTAGGGTGACCGCCTCGAGTGATTTCAATCGTGTGATTTTTACAAGTCCACGGGGTTGGCCACTTAAAACATCCCACGCCGATAATGAAAACGCCAGACCGACGAGAGGGACTCTGAACACTCGAGATAAAAGAGTCTACGAGTCTACGAGCTCAAAAAAAAAAAATACTTAAGACGAATAAAGATTATTTTACTACGGTCTACTCGTGCAACCGTGTCCACTTCATGTTACAGCGCCAATCTCCCGCAGGTAATCTAATCAGAAAAGCCGGCCCAGCCTCTCGTATTCGTTGCAAGAGAGGGTGAAGATGTTGTCTACCTCGTAAAATGGTAGTTTGTTCAACAGGAACAAAAATTAAACAGTTCCTTGGAGCACGGTGAAGTGTTTCTTGAATCCTTTACGGTCCTTTGTCCAGGTGGACTAGATATTCACTTTTATTGCAGTTGCAAGTTTTAAATAGATGTATACTGTTTGAAAGAATTAGTGGATTGCTAATGTGGACGGTCTTGTTGCACCCACCAAGCGAAAGAAACAAGACAAGTGCATAGGTTTGCTAAATTGATATTTTTTTGTACAGTAGTAATACTATTAACACCTTGTTATATTTGTATGGACCACTTTTTGGAGATGTACGTCGTATTGACGACTGTGGTACATCTCTTAATTGTTTTGTGCAGTGTATATTAGGCGTACCATAAAGTGATCCAGTGTTTCTTGTCGACATCAGTATTCGTTTCTATAAAAGTCAGGGATCTGTACTGCTTAACTTCATTTTTTTGTTATAACTTATATTTATAATGATTTTCTAATATTCCACTTCATTTTTACTCAATTGAAGATTGCAAAGAATTTTTAATTTAAAATATATTGCCTTGTAATTTAGAACAATAGTAGATTACTTAATAGCACACCTAATATATAAAATAAGTTGTAATTGCAATGAAATTAAATTTCGAGCTTTTTATAAGCGTATTGTATCTGAATATTATTCTAGTTAAATTTACCAATTTTCTGATGTTTTACTTATATTTTACATTCATTATAAATTAAGTAAGACAACATACATTTATCGTAACTGTATACAATGATTGTCTTAATACAGGAAACGCAAATCTGTTTTACTAAGAGTGAAATCGTATAACTGGGCCGTAGATTTTATCTAATCATCTAAAATTCAGTAAAGTAAAAATAATTAAAAAAACAATGGAACTGAACTGAACAGTATCTTTAGATGAACGCTATCTCTATCTCTAGCAAAACGTGATTGTGATTTGCATGCTATCGAAACATTTCCATTTACTTGTCCACAATCGAGCATCGAAGGAACCAGTGACTGTAACGGGCCGAACAAACCTTTCTCCCGTAAGACACACATTCGAACGTGGTCTCCGATTGGCCGAAGGAACGGAAAGTAATATACTCCAGATTGTTACCGGTTCATTGTAGTAAGCGTAGAGGCGAACTGGACCTTGGCTCAGAAATTTCGTTCCACATAGTAGTGGGGCCAAAGTATACCGTTTCATAAACGTACATATTTTGTTATGCTATACTTTCGACGCGTTCTATTTGTTAAATGTACCAATACTTAAGTCATTATTTGTTTGCAAATTCAATATTTTCTTCGATAAAAATTAGAAACACAATATGTTAACTTCTTCATTACCATGAATTCACATAGGTACGGTTTTTGACATAATCTCCGAGAGTATTAGGCCACTTGGACTGTACGAAGAAATGTGATATTTCATCAAAAGTACACATCTACAGCCACTTTTGTTATTAATTGGTGTAGGTGTTGTCCATCGAGTTTAGTACTCCCTAAACAGTATTCATTTCAGATTTTCTGTGATATTCAGAATTTCAGTGGTCATAACCAAGTAACTGTTGACATTCTGGTAGCTTCGTCTTGCTTAATTGTTTCTTCTCCCAAAAGAATCACACAATCGTAAAGGTACTCAGAATTTTAAATAAACTTTTTCTGATTATTTTACTTCCAGCTCAGTTCATTTACCAATAGTTTGAATCAATATTGAGTATTTACAAAATCTAGCTGACAGAAAATTTAATTATCAAAACGATCGATATCCTTGAATATGCAATTATAGTTAGCCCCCGTTGCTAACTTTAGTGTACAGAACGAGACAAAACGCGACGGAAACGTGGCGTATCTGAGACGAGGAGGCGAGGTAGGCAGAAAACGCGTAGGATCCTCCCACGAGTTCTCACGGGGTTAATTAGTAATCTCGAGAGTTAATTGCCGCAGGCAAAGGGTAGACCGTGTTTCGAGTTGAAGTTCGCAGGAACAGAGGCGAGCCTCCGGCTTGAAGGATTCGCGTCTTTCTTTGTTGCGAAGGCCTCCCTTCTTTATTATCTCCTCCTCGCTTCGGGGCGACATGTTGAAATGAAAATTTACCGTCTCTCGTCTTTTTTTCTCTTTCCTATTCGAATCGGTCGAACCGTGGAAGTAGAAACGGAGAAGTGAAAGAAGGTGTGGGAACTAGAAATCCTTTTGTTTTCGGTGAAAATGTTATTAGTAATCATTACATAACGAATATTTGTCCTATTCCGATTTTGATGAGCCATTTTAGGAAAGTTTGAAAAAGATCACGTGTCTGTGGTGCAGATTATTATTAGGATTCTTATTATATTTTTTTTTATTCAATTGTCTTTAATACATATAACTGTGTGTAACCTGCAGTTTTTCGTAGTCATGTTAGCTGGCAGAAATTTAGAAATAAATGGAATAAGTCGACAACGAATTGGTTACCTTCCTATGTTCGAATTTTGTTTTGCTATGTTCTTCCTACGGATATTAATTAATTTGTCCTGTGGAATTCAACTGGCATTCCTTTCAGTGTATTTATTACTATCGGTTGCTTATTAAAGTGTCCTTTTTACAGAGCAATTCTATAAATGAATTTCGATATCGATAGTATTTGTAAATCCAGTGCGTGTATTGTTCGAAGATATAAACTCCATTGTACTGGATATTGCTGAAGGAAGGAGAAAAAATGAAAGTGGCATTGCGTTACACAATGGTATGAAAAATAAGAAGTCGGTTCGTATAACAAAACGGCCATTGATTGTTCCGTTCTTGTTATCTGTCGTATTACATTCCAAGTAACGTATAAAATGCATTCACATTTATAATATAGATTCTGCCTGGCATTCTTAAAAATTGCAAAGAAATAATAACATTGAATTGCTAAAGACGAAACGAAAAATAAAGTGATTTCAAAATTTTAATTAGAAATTGATCAATTTACATTAAAACATCTAAGAATTTTAATTGTCAAGATCTACAAATCCTTGAACTGCCTTATCCTTTTCTTTGGATCGTCCAATGTATTTGTTTAATATTACTATAAAAATGATCTATGTAGAAGTATTATTCTAAAATGCAAAAATAGTGACAGTACGTATAATTCAGGAAATTATTTTTAATTTAAAGATAGATGTGTCTTTCAAGTGTTAAATTTGAAAGTTTCTTCCGGGAAGAGGAGGAAGTATTCTCACATACCATAGAAGGGGTACGTGTAACACTGAAGAATTCGAACTGACCAGAGATACCTGCGTGATTCACCAGAAACGTATTCATAGGGTCGAAACACCTTCAGGGTTAGAAGGTTAGAACGCAGTTCAGACGACCCTTTACCACATGCCACGGGCAACTCGTTCGACTTTACGACCCTT